TAAAGTGTAGACATGATAGAGGTTCTAGTCTTGCCATCAACATGCAAAGTTTATCAGTTATTTAAAATTCACACATTCTTAAATATACAGACTACATAGTCTTAAACTGTGAGAACAAAACGGGAGGACCTTAAACTGCCCATTTCAAAATAAATTCTATGCTGGTATTCTATAACATTGAAACATTTAGTATTCATAATTTTTAAAGCACTGTTTATATGGCAGAAACAGGCCTCTTCTCCCATTTATGATGTTAGTTTTGAAAAGGTGCAACTCACAAGTAGAGTGGTAAGAATTCAGCTCTGTTTTTTTGTGGAATATATATTTATTATTTGGACATTGCTGTTCCAGACTTAGAGGGACTTCAAATAAGAACTCAGATATCTCCTATGGTAAAGCAAGGACCAGAGCATGTGTAATTTCTAAGGTTGACTCTTTTCATAGCTTTTTTGGGGGCTGGAATTTGTCACTTTCCTGTATTTGTTTCACCATTCTCAAATCACTAAGTTGTATTATTATGTGATAAAAGATAGCTTCTCATAATATTATTGACAAAGATGTTTAAATGTAGATTATTTAATATAAATATTTGTAACAAATATTTTCTTATTTCCTGATGTAGTTAATATTAACATTAGGCTTTAAGAAAAGTTTTAGGAATACAGAAATGAGGACTGAGAAGAAAATAAACCTTTTCTCTCTTGTTCCTTCCCATTCCAATATTTATCTCTACTTCTTTTCTCTTTATTCGCTCATTGGCCCAGTATATTTCTCCTCTGTTCATACCACTACCCTGAAGCTGTATCTTACTGGACTTTTCAGCTGCCTTTGACTTTCTTTACAGCCTTTTTGGTAATTGGTACCTGTTTTGGACCTTGTGGGCTCCACGTCTTTGTGTCCCTCTGTGTTCCCGAAGTTCTGTTTCTCCTCTTTCTTGCCCCGCTTCTCTTCTTTCTCTCCTGCCTTTCTTGACTGGTATAATCTGCTTTTATGGTTTGAAGTATTATTAACTTCCAGTCCTGTATTTCTATTTCTCAACTTTCCCTTGTGCTTAAAATTTGTATATATAATATTATATTGAACCTAACCTTTTGGATATTTCACAGGCAGTACAAACTCTTTATGTTTCAAAATGAGTTCATTATTTCCTCCTCCCCCCTAAAATCTTCTTCTTCTTCTGAATTTATAGTGATCTTAGATAATAACAGCATCATCTCTCTAGTCACCAGGAAAAAACCTAAACTCTTCCTTTTTTATTGATATAATATCCAGATCTCCAAATCTTGCAAATGTTACCTCCTAAGTATAGTTGTACTTCATCCTTCCCTATCCTAAAGTGATCACCCTAATTCAATCTCATCAGGATTATTGCAAACAATCTCCTGACTCCCTACCTTTTATCATAAATGCCTGTCTCCTTCTCACTATAGTGTTAGTAATCCAGCTATCATTACAAATCTGACATATATGTTGTCTGCTTAAAATTCTCTAATTGGTCATTGTGGAGTAAAGTGTTGAAATATAGAAGAAAATATAGCATATAGAAATATAGCAAAATTTCCATGTCTTGTCTACTGTATTTCCTGCTGCTTACCACTTGCTTTAATGATACTGAAATGCTTCCAGTTCTTTGATTGCACCATGCTGTTTCTTATATTTCATCCTTTTCTCATGCTAGTCCTGCCTGAGTTATTATTCCCATTTCTTTTTATTTTACTGATTCGTATTTATTTCATACTTGTGTCCTCTAGCAAATTTTCCTGATGTTTCAGGTTGAGCTCAATGGACCCTCTTCCTCTGGGCACCATTATAGGACCCAGTGCACATTTATAGTAGTGCTTACTATATTATATCATTGTATTCTAAATATGTGTTCTTTTTCCTCAGTAGACTATAAGCTTTTTTAGGGCAGGTATCATGTTTTATTCATTTTTTAAAGTCCTAGCACTTAGCACTTAATATTAGTAGTATATAATACTAAATGAATTTTTTTTTTTGAAAGATAGCTACCCTCCTTTTGACCTGCAAATGAATCCAGTGTTCTAGTCCCAGG